TTTTGAGCCCAGTTCTCCTGTTTCTGCTCTAATCACTGGGATATGAGATACTGTGGTGTGGTGATAGGGGTCTTCTCAGGTCCCTATGCTGGGGCTACTCTGCAGTGAAACAAAGTAGTCCTCTGAGAGCTCAGGGATGTTGGAGGGAGTATATACATATTTAAAAATATGATTTGCTGGTCCTGCTGGTCAGACAAGATTACGTTCCATGAAACACTTAACCATCGAGAGGAGCAGAAACTGCAGAATCCCAGCAGTGGGTGCCCTGAGTGCTGGGCTGGAGAGCTGGACACGGCTTTGCTCTTTTTGCTCTGGACACAGATATGGCCACAGCTGGGGAGGCTGGAGAGCCAGTTCTGTGCCCTCAGCCCTCCACAGGTAGGCATGGGCTGCCACCCCCTTGAGCAGCAAAGACATCTCAGCTTGGACCCTGGCTGCCAGAGCCCCTTCCCACAGACTTGCACATGCAATCACCCTCGCTCGCGTCCAGGGACAGACCCTGGCACAGCCCCACGAAACCATGTGTGCCTGAGCACATGGTTCCCCTGAAGGGGAAGACATGAGGTCCAAAGTGAGGAGTGCCATCCCAGAGCAGCGCAGCCGTTTTCCCTTTGGGCAGTCTGTTTTCACTGTATTTGTGTCCCTGGGACCCAGCTGCTTAGCAACTGGATAAAATTGTCACAAAATGTTGGCAGTGCCCTTCTTACCAGGGCCGGGGCCAGGCTGCGTCCCTGGCGGGGCATGTCTGCCAGGCAAGGTGGCCATGCGGTGCTTATGGGAGGACCTCCATCTCTGTCCCTGTCCTCCCCAGGTGGCTGTCCCAAAGGCGCGAGGGAATTTGGCCATGAAGCATGGCAAACGCTGCATTGCAGGCAAGGCATGCAGGCAGCTCCCCCAACGCCTGCCGGCAGAGTAGGTGCCACCCCAGGGGCAGATGAAATGTGGGCACTCTTGATCACGACGCCTTGTTGGATCTGAGTGGATACATACTTCTTCCTCTCTGAAAGACCAGGAGGAAAAGCACACTTGGAGTATTCTCCTGAAGTATCTGATAATTAAAATAGTCACCATTCCCGATTGTGTATTTGGGGGAGATGGGGCTGAATACACCATCCTACTTTGGTTCAGGGCACTTTAAACAAAAACAAAGGAAAAATGGCAATGAAGATTTATGGCTCTATATTCTTTGGGCCAGAAGAAGAACAGGCATGTGACTGGTGCCTGCTGCTGTCCTTGCCCTGTTTGACTCCTCTGCCTCTGCGGATAACGCTCAAAGGGGTATCCAGGCTACCCAGGAGGCCAAACCCAGCTCGGCAGAGCTGACTTCCCTTGAAGGGCCATGCAAAGGGCAAGTGATGAAAATTAATTACAGTTTTTAGGAGGGTAGTTTATAACACACTTGCCCTTATAAGTGGCTGACGTGCAAAAGATAGTTGTTGGCAATTGCTGACAGCTTGTGTGTTTACCTCAATCAGCAAGTATTTGTAATTAATTTTTAAAATGTTGAAGTTCCAGCCTTACTGGGAACATTACAAACTGCCCTCAGCACTCTGATGTGCTTCCAAAACATATGCTGCCACAAGTCAAAAAGGACTCAAATATTTCAGGGGACAGGCAGGGGAGAAGTGGGGAGATGATGCAGTTGAAATGAAAATGATTTAGATAACTTGGTATCTATTCACAAATATTTAATTTCCATGACTGGAAGCAACCACAGCTGTTGTAAACGGGGTGAACCGCCACATCACTTCTAGCATGTCTCTTGTCTAATGCCACAACACCACAATATGGAGGCTTTGCCAGCAGCGGGGTGCCTAGGCTTCACTTTTTCCCTCCCCTCCCTACAATGCTCATGCACCCCCTGTGCTGGCGCATGAGTTTGTGGGCCCCCAAAAAGCCGAGTGGGGATTAAAATAGGCCTGTGAAGAAAATATGATCCTCTGAGGCAAGTATTGCTTCTGGAGACCCAGCATTGCTGAGCCATGGCCTGGGAGCTTTTCAAAGACGCATGGGATACTTGTGCCCACACTTGTGCCCAAAATGTTTATTGACGGTTTCTCTCTCTCTTTGCATGGAGAAAAGACAAATGCAATTTCAGTATTTTTCAGTTTCTTACATTTTTATGGCAGTTCTTCATGGTAGTTTTCACTATGTCCCTTCTGGCCTCGGCAACAGGGTGGCCGGGAAACCTTCTTGAAGGCAGGAAGATGCCATTGCCAAATCTACCATCAGAGTGGATAGGGTGGTGGAAGTAGCTGAGCTCGGGGCAAACTCCAAATGAATCTCCTCTCAAAAGGCTTAGCCTTGAATTGTGCTGTTCCTTTAAATTCAGAAATGTGCCGTGTCTCTGAGCACTGCCCAACATCTTGGGGAGCTGAGGCTGCTGAGAGGGCACAGGGGAGCAGAGGAGAGACAAGCAGCACCAGGGCAGCAGCCAGTCCCCGCTAACATCTGGCCTGAGGCTTTAGCAGCAGGTTTTAGAGAGAGATTTTTGTTTCTGTGAGGGAGTGGGAGAGCATGCTCAGATTGCAACCCTGTAGCTAAGTGATTTTTAATTTTTTCCAGGAGCATAATTATGAAAAATGCCTCTCGTTCCCCATTAATGTTGCTATTAGCAGGCATGCAGGGCTCACAGCATGAGCCAGTTCTTGCTAAACAGAGTCTGTGCGTGCCACATTAGGGAATGTACCACTCACATGGCTTTCAGAGCGTTCTAAGTGATTTGCCATAGCTCCTGTAATGGTACAGAGCCACACACATCTACATCTCATGTCAGAGAAGGCAGCAAGGTCTAGCTTTAAATTCACGGTCCTTGATTAAAAGAAAAGAAGACCAGCAAGGTCAAACACCTGCTTCTTGGCACTGAGTTGCCCTCCTGCTCAAAGACCAGGTGGGTGCAGTGCTGTGAAGGACTATCATATTCAGATGGGGCTGTTCAGTCAAACGTCTCTCACTCGCCCACTTAGTCACTCACACAAGCAGTATAATAGCAGACCGAAAAAAACCACCTTACCAGGGATTATAAAAGCTTCCATCTTCCCATGCACTTACTTCTAACGCTACTTTTCCCTTTTTAAGGTGAGCCTTACTCCAATGCAGAAAGAAAATGGTCTAGCGCATTGGAAAAGGGGGAGCAGTTGCTGTCTTTCAGCTTGATTTTAGCAAGGCTTTCAGCACAGGCACCCACAGTACCCTTAGAGCCAATGTGGTGAGACAGGGACTGTGCTGCAACAGACCCTGGGTGGCCATGGGCCAGCCCGGTCATATGTACAGATTTTCTTGTGCTTGACTCCCCTTTACATGCACCTCCGCTGTGGCTATGGGTGTTGTGTAAACCTCAAGGTAAGATGGGGACTTGGCTCTCTGCAGAGAGCTGGCTGGCCAGGAAAGAGGCTTGATTTGTAAAGGACTCAGATGTTAGCCCTCAAATTCCTTGTGATACAGTCAGCAGGCAACTGCTCCGAGAAGGCAGAAAACATCTCAGGGTGTATTTTTCTTACATGCACAAGTTTTCTTTTAGATGCAGAGTAGATTTTTACCAATGGCCCATTGCTCCCACCTCAATATTTATCACTTTCTTATATCAATCCTGATTCCCCTAAGACATTCCCAGCTCTGTGTAGAGGAGCAGAAAGCTACGCTGCCAATTCCAGGCATTGAGACATCTCTTTTGCTCTCCATAGCTTGTGAACAATGCTATATTACAACAAATTTGTATCCACATCTAAGCTCGCACCATGAACCAATTAAGGATCTGTGATTTTTTTGTTTCAAGTATGTGGCCGAATGTTTATAGGACAGTCTAGATTTTAATCCAAACGTTCACAAATTTAGACATCTGCCTCTCGTGCTGTCAAAAGGGCATACAATCAGCACATCTGAAAATCAATATACCTCGTGGGGCTGAGTACGTCAGTTAATCAAATACTGCAACCATTAGCTTTTGCTCAGCTTCCAGTTAGCTCCAGAGCATTTTCTGCATAGTAGCAAGATTATAATTGCTAGAAAAAAGAGAAAACATGCATTTTAAACATCATGATCCCTATGTTTTTTCATTGTTTGAACTTCACCTTTACTGCAGCTTGATTTTCCTTCCAGAATTGCTCATTAGGTCTAAATCTAGAGAAAACAAAACCCTGGCTGTCTCAGTGATCCTGGACAGTAGGGAATGCAAGGCCATCTGTTTCGCTCCAAGAAAGGTTTCAGAAAACAAATCCAGATAGTTGATTCATTATAAAATAGACGTAATTTATGAAGATAATAATGGAAACAAATCCTATGAAGACCTCTTAAGTCCCTGGCTACTATTACTGTTATTTTTTAAGTGAGCACTGGCTACCCACATCACATGAATAATACTATGTAAGTCACAGATGCAAAATGGCAATAGCTGCAGAGATCAGGACCTTACCCATGGGTACATTTAATTCATCTAAAATGGTTATAGTTGCTCTTCTGGAGCATGGTTGGTGCGGGGGACAATCTCAGAGGAAAATGGTCCCACACAAGAGCTCGCTGTCTTGGGGGCCACATGTTTCTCTGAAGATGAAGGCAAGCTGTGTGCAACTCTGCAGAGACTGGCTTGTGGGACATACTCTGGCCACAAGCAAAGTGTGTAGCAGAGGAACTTTGTTGGTAGCAGAGGAAGGGCTAAGGGAAGGTGAGATGCAACAATTTTTCCCTAAATTAAATCTGTGATGAATGTCAAACCTTAGCTTAAGCGACATTCTAAGGAAGCCTGGACCAGGGACCTATGTCATAAATATTCAAGGACGAATTTTTATCCGTATGTTCCCTAGTCTTCCTTTGTTTGCAGACCACCAGACTGCAATTCATGTGGCTACGACAGGGGACTTGTTATGTAGCCACACAGCATGCCTGGAAATAAATTCCAAACTGAATGAAGTTTTACACAACCTTAAATTTTCAAACGCACCTTACAGTAATCTGTAGCCAAGCAGCAACAAAGACTTTTAATTTTACAGCACACACAGTCTGTGCTATGTTGGGACTAAATACAGTCCTATTTCTTAAGAACCTGTGGTCACTCAGGGGAATCAGTTTCAGTGTGCTTGAGAGATATGTGCGCCCCATCCAAATACCTCTCACAGTAACAAATCCAGTGTCAGGTTTTACCAAAAATAAAACCAAAATGTGATCTGGTTGTTGAACTCATGAACAGGGTTGGAGACCAGAAAGGGTGGGCAGCATGCATGTTCCTCTGCACAAAATCTCCTGGTAAAGTTTGCAGGCGAAGGGGACCGCAGCTGTTGGGGCAGAAGTCTCAGCAGCAATGTCACAAGAAACTCCCAGCATCCAAGTCAGACTTCTTCAGATGTTCATTGCCAGGTTGATAAACTAATAGCGGAAGAAAGATCAACTTTACAATAAATGATTTCAGGCCCTTCTCTCCCTCCCTTTCCCCAAATGAAAGAGAGGTGTTCAAAAGCAGCGCCTTGCTCTGAATTGACCCTGCAGAGGGAGGAGGATCTTTGCTTATGAGGCTTTTATGTCCTGTCACTAAGGAGAGACCTCAGCCAGCATTTGCTTCTGTGTTTGGAGGGAAGGAGGCAGAGTTCTCCAAGAACTAGATGCCGATAACAGCAGTGATTTTGTTTGCATCCCAACAGCCCACATGAGCTCCCACATTTGTTGTGCCAGGGAATTCATTGTGCCTTGCCTCAGGAAAATTTGGGTTAGTGTAAAATGAGAGACAGCCCACATAGGCAACTGGGAGACAAAGAGAGCACAAGACACAAGAAAATAAGAAGCCTGTGCTGAGCAGTGTGAGAAGCAGATGATGGACATGCATGGGAGAGGCTGATCTGAACTCCTGAGAGATTGAGGAAGGGTGAAAGACCCTCCGTCCCTGTCTGCTGCTTCCCCTTTACACCATCAAGAGCTGGCACCCAAGGCAGGAAAAAGCAGAGAATCTAGAAAGGGTGATGGGAAGATGTCAATATGGCACAGGGCAAGGAATGAAGGAAATAGCATGGAGGAGGTGTAATAGGTGCATGCGCTATAACAACCCAGCCCTGCTGAAACCTATGGCAGATGCCCCCTGTGCTCTCATGGACATAGACATCACCTGAAGTGTCATGCAGAAATACTCCAGTTCTTACAAGAGGGCAAAGCTCTAGAGAAGCCCCACCATTTTGTCAGTGTTTATGAAGCTGTGCTCATACCTCGCCTATATTCAGGTTAATGAACTCCTTGTTTTTCACACTCAGTGCTTGGAATACTCCTGAAATGAAAAACAGGACACCGGTGCTATAAATACACCTCATTCATATTCATACACGAGCTCCCCATCCCATAGCGATGGGTGACCGTGCCAAGGAGAGGGAGAGCCTGGTGCAAAGGCAGATTGCTTAGGATTGCTTGGTGGTGGTAGCTGCTCTGACAAAACGAAGTCCTTGCAAAAGGAAATGTCTTGCTGACTTAAGGCCTTTGTGCGAGTCTCACTTCAGAACTTGACTGAAAGAGGGTGGCC